TCCTTGAGGATCTCTTTGCGTACATCTGCTGGCATTCGTGTTGGTGCAGATATTTGCCATGTGCCTGTTCCAGGTGGGGTTAGATTTCTTGGGTGGAATGAAGGGATCGTAGCTACTCGGGTGATTGTTGATTTAGACAACCTCATGTGTGTACCATTGGTATCCAATTGGTGTTGGTTGATCCTCTTGTTCCGACTCTTCAGGTCTTTTTGGTGCGCACGAGCCTTACCACCTTATTGCTTTCAAAGAAGATCCCGAATCACGGCCTCATCCAGATGCTGAAGAAGATTCAGTACCTGCAATCCTCTTGAACAGTGCCAGGCACAATCAGGTGAAACATCAGGACTCTTTGTCGAGGATCTCTGCAAGTAGTGGACACAGTTCGTGTTTGGATGCTTGTGTGGAGCTGCAACAGATGACTTTGCTCGTGGATGTCGATACAGAGCTTCATGATGTGGAGAAAGCACACCTGAACTTTGCGCGCCGTGAGGAGCAGGCTGAGCAAACGGTAGATCCACCGTCAGCTTTGCAATCGAACATGCCCTGCTTGCGGAAGCTCGTGAAGCCAACAGATTGGGAGAAAGTCCGCTCCAGCATTGCCAGATATGTCGACAATGCTTTACGCGATCCCACGATCCCCCCCAAGACCTTGAGGAAGATGACTGTGAAGCTCCCGGGCCATGGCGGATATCTTCTGGTAGAAGAAGCAAGCATACACCAAATTCCAGGGTCCAAGAAGATCTGGGTGCTCTTGAATGGTTTCCGGCCGGAGAAATCTCGGCGTTTGCCATCCTTGGATGGAATTTCCGAGGGAATGCGCCAACGTCGGTGGCCTGTCGTGCTGGACTAGGGATGTAAATCTCCCGCCGTGGCAAAAGGTCAGGCAACCTGAAGCTTTCATTCAGTCATCTACATTATCCCAACTAGCAGCCAGAATTCACCGCAGTGCACCAGCTTCACCATCCCCGTCAGCATTTCCCCTAGTAGATTGTTCAACCCAAGTCCCGTAGAAAAGGGTCCTTTTCTAGCAACACATGGCCTAGTATATTGGTAGAGCCCCACCGTTGCCTGAGAAACAGCATTTCACTCACCAATTCCTAGAGGACACTCTGTAGCTGTCTCAATATGTCAATTTCTAGGGAAATTGATATGTTCAGGTTTTGCTAGCGATCAATCTTGTTCAAACATCACTCTTTCTGGTGCCTCGATTGAAGTTTATACTCGTCCGATTTAACTCACAATGGAACCCGTACAAGACCATCCCCTAGAGAGGCACAAGATCATGAAGATAAGGTCTTGATTTCTTGCTTTTCTAGAATGCCTAGCATTTTCTATCCCGCATTTTTACCTGGCCAGAACCATTTACTAGACCAACGTACATGCCCTGTTTTTTATAGTTAGAGAATGGTTCATCCAGGTTCTCCTTGAAATGCTAACGGGAATATTGGGTCATATTGGTTATGGTATACTTGTCCAAATGCAGCAAACTGACGGAAAGTGACCGGCTTTTTCCATCAAG